CTCACAGCACTTTCATTTCCTTCCGCGTTTTTATTAAGGGTTCTAGTTTTCTTCATTGCAGATCCCACGAGTATGGGGGAAACATTCAGTCTGTCCAGGCAGTGCCCTCCTGTACCTGGATAAGCCTACATACACCCAGGGGTCGGCCGGTGCCTGGGGTCGAGTAGCAGTAGTGATTGACAACCCCTCAACCATGCATCTCCTCGCGCTGCTCTCACCGCTTGAGATTGGGGGTTAGAGAGGCTTTCTCCTCTTGGCCCGGCCAATAAAGGCAAGGCCCTCGTTCCCGATCAAAGTCGCGAGACATGACCACAGCACTTTGACCAGGCTTACGAGTTCCACGCGCATTCCCGCGTCGTGGTCGACGGTGGAGACGAGACCGTAGTCGCATCGCCCGCTCAGTGACAGGGTTAGTGAACACAAAGCCCGCCCTTGCTTCTCCAGTATGCCTTCTGCTGGTCAGAGGGACACCTGGAGAAACGCCCACCCGTCAGATTATTTGCTACCAGTCAGTGGCCACAAAGGCCACAAAGGCCACAAAGGCCACTGGCTGGTACCCGGGGTGCACCACGAGGAGGTTATCTGACAAAGCACCCCTTTCCGAAGTGACCTGATATTCAGATGAAAAATTTGAATATTATTTATATTTTGTGTGAAATCATTACTCAGATCTGAAATATTATTATATCTTTTATATATAATGTCTGAAAAAAAAAATATCCGTTTGGGTGAACGTTGGTGTTAAATGCACCCAGTGTGTATTCGCCGCTCCGCGTGTACTATGAGCGCATCGCATTTATTTATTAGTTATAATCTTCGAATTTATTTAGGTCATCTTCCGATTTTATGTTGTAGATCTTTTTTTCTTCGCTGCTCTTTTTTACTAGAATATTGTTGTTTTGGACCCAAATATATTGATAGCCTTTTGGTTTTAGTTTATTTCTGACGGCTCATAGAAGTTGGCGCTTGTATTTTGGCAAATCCTCATTAATAAATACGGGGTTTTCGCTGCCATTGCCATAAATTTTTTTGGCTAACATCCAGCTATTACGGGCGTTTTTAGATCGCAGTTTAACCACGACGGTTTTAATCTTTTTATCACTAACTTTTTCTTGACCTACCCTCTGTGCTTCTTCGATATCATCCGGATTTAAGTTTAGCTTACAAGCTATTTCTTTAATTACTGACGTAATATTCTCGTCCTTGTGCATTTCTAGCCCGTGAATCTCTACATTTTTCTCTCTTTCTTTAATTTCCAGCTCCTGCACCCGTTCTTCCAACGCTTTATTGCACTTCTCTAAGTAGATATTTTTCTGTTCCAATGACTTGATTCGTTTTTGTGATTCTTCCTTGAATGTTATTAAGGTTTGATACATTTCGGCGTACAATTTTACGTTAGTAGAAAGGTCTTCAATTTTTTTCTCCATATTGTAAATAACTTCTAACTTTTTTTTTCACTTCAGCTAATACCTTCTCACCGGATAGTTCACTAGGGTTTATCGACAGTTTTGGGTCCTGTGCTGGCTGCAAAGGGCTGGTTTTTCGACACTCATCGCAGAATGACGTATGCGGAAATTGTTTATTCGATTGCACGCATTTCTTGTGAAAAACCGCCTCACATACACCTTTACACTTTACTATATTGTCATCCTTATTCAAGGACACAAACATTTTACATTTTTTGCACTGTATCATTTTGCTTCGCAGTACGTTTCCGCAGTATACTTTATCTAATTGCACACGACCGTACGCTGAGCGCGCGCGCCCGGAATGAGCCTGGCTCTTGCATCAGCGGAGGTGGGTTCGATCCTCACTACTGGAAAAATATATGTGATGGACGGTGTTTTTCTAGTGTCTGTGGAATTTGAGCGCCTCTGTTTTGGTGCCCTAGTGGCATATCTACCTCGTATTTCTTTATTTTGTTAAGGTAACTCTGCTACAAGATCAGTACAAAAACAAGAAAACGATAGAGTTAAAAAAAAAACTAATTAAGGCTGTAGGTTAGTGGGACCTCCTTTTATGTGAGAAAGTGGAAAACGATCAAGCGGTTCACCTGCTGTTAAGTGATAATCGCCGCCCATAGACATTTGGAAGGCCCGTAGGATGCTGACGCGTTGGCACCTTTTAATAAAGTGGGCCCCGGCTACCTCACTCACCAGACGAAACGCAGAAGTGAAACACTTCTACTTCACGCCGTTAATCTGTGAGGTCGTGGTACTAAGCCGGACGGAACTGCCCATTCGTGCAAATTATTCCATTCGTACAGTTCACTACGAAAAACAGACACTTTTTTCGTATTGTAAAATTTTAAATGATAATATAATATATAAAATTCTCGTGTCACGGTGTTTGTAATTGAACTCCTCCGAAACGGCTCGACCGATTTACGCGATTTACGTGTGCATATCGGCCAGGGCGGAGAATCGGAAAACATCTATTTTTCATCCCCCTAAATGTTAAGGGCGGTCCACCCCAAATATTTTTTCTACCCTACAAATTCCTTAGAAATAATTTATACGGCAAGACAACGTTTGACGTGTCAGCTAGTATCATATGACTATATCATTGTATATTACATCAAATCTGATGCATTGTATGATACCACTAAATATTTGCTTGCTCGACCGGAACACCTTGGCACGTATACAAATCTAAGTAAAGTCATATTTTTGTCACGACTTGGGAAACATAAACCCAATAAATGTTCACTTTAGTACATTAGCAATGGTCATAGTTTATCGTATAACGATAGCTAACGCGATAATTTATGTACTAACATTATTTGTCTCGTTATAATTTTAGTTTATATAGAAAACTGGATAAAAAGAGTGGCCGAAACTAGCAAACCACTTCTTTTCTTACTAAAATTCGGTTGTTCATGTTAGTGAACGTAATAATAAAAAAAAATATTTTCTTAAAATAAACTGTAATAACTACCTGTATAATGGGTTTTTATGAATTCTTATTATACCTTTATTATATCGATGAGAATAAGATATTAAGTCCATAGAGGTTTCTTATTGGTCATCATTATTTGTCAACAGTATGATAGTCGTGAAATACTTTATTGATACAGCAATTCTTTACTGCGATGTAGCAACGCGTTCTGCAGCTGTTGCACGAATGGGCAGCCTCGTCCGGGGAAGTACCACGGACTCACAGAGCACCAGCGTGCTGAGGCAATATTACTTTTGCGTTTCCTCCGGCGTGTGAGGTAACCAGGGCTCACTTTAAAAGGTTCTCAGCGCTTGTCCATAGGCGGCGTTTTTTCACTTAACCTCAGGTAAGAAGCCTGCTCGTTTGACAACTTTTAGCACTTTTTGTAACTTTAGTAAAAACTTTAGTATTTCTTTTTAATGGAGTACAAAATAAATATTTTAGAAGATATTTTTACACAATGTTGTCTATTCCTGAAATAAGCGACAGATGCTTAATGGTTAACGTAAGTTTAATTTATAAATAAAAAAAATATTATAACATAGATCTTCTATAATTATATATTAATACTTGAAACAAAAGCTTTGTACCCCCTTTTACGAAAATTGCCCGGACGGAGGAGTATGAAATTCCCACACTTAAGGCCCATTTACACGATACCATTTTCTTGTACATACAAGAGCAGTAATTGAATGCAATAAATTGCGCGCAATAATTGTTTAGACCATTTGTTGTTTAGACCATGCAACTCATTTATTGCTTCAATTTAATTGTATACAACAGGCAAGAAACTGGCACCATGTAAATGGGCCTTTATAGTTTATATAGAGGAGGGCAGTATGCTAATATTTCTTTTTAAATTACTCATAAAAATACATTAAATCTTTAAAAAAAATAATACAAACACTACCATGTATATTTAATTATGTTGACATTAGTTTATATAAATAGTGCAAATATTAACACTACACAAATTTTAATCTAATAAAATTCTTCTTTGAAGTTCACAAATGAATATAGCAAGCCTATCCCGTAATCTCTACCTAATGACTTTGTGTAAAGGTACCTTACTCGCGAGGTTAAGTGTAGACGAAAGACCAACATTGACCCGGAAGCACAAAGTATACCTACGTCATACCAATCATCTATGATTTATGACATGGCCACTCATTAAATGATGCGCCACTGAATATAAAACTGGTATGGCTAGTTTTTATTATTCCAATAATTTTTAACAATCTTACGTAACTCTATACAGACGGAGTCTTTGGATTCCCAAGCGTTACGAGTTTAATTTACTGACTTGTCCCCTTACGAAGTTGTTCTGTAAAGTTCCGAAGTGGATTAATGACTCCTCTTTGGTGGTATGAATTCAATGGGGTTATTAGATAGATTCACGCCAGTCGTGAATTTCAATATATTATAACAGATGAATGTGCATTCATGAAAGCGTGAACCTTTAATTATATACTTGTCACAATTGTATATACATGTCACACTCCATTATGTACTTGTACAAGTATATAATCAAAGTCGTAACCGAATTAAGAACTTCGGGGCAGGATATGCAACCCTACGAGTGTTGCAAATGCAGGCAGGCGGTTATCACTTAACATGAGGTGAACCGCCAGCTCGTTTGCCTCTTTCTCACATAAGAAAAGAAAATTAGTTTCTTCTTAGGTTTCAGGTAAATATAAAACGTTAGTCTAGCCAATCTGTTTCTTCTATATATACAACATATCTATGTTGTAGGTTCGAATGAAAATGATCAATAATGAAATTGACACATTTTTGCAAACTGTTGGTAAACGGTCGAACGGTTGGTTGGTCGAGTAATTTTACATTAGTGAATTAAAAGAAAAAAAAATCAACTTTTACTGATACTAAAATTTGTAGAAAAAAAAAGCGTCAGGCCGAGAATGCCGAAGACCTGGGTTCGATTCCCACAGCGGCGACAATATTTTCGTACTTTTTCTACATATTTTAATGTTCAATCTTAAGTGCAGTGATTGGCACTATAAAAAATTTAAAATTTCACTCATGCGCAAAATCGTTAACTCCAGGCGTGGACCTGTCCGCGATCCCCGTGATGTTGGCGGACGTGGGCGACGAGGACTCGCTGCGCGCGATGTGCCAACGGGCCAAGGTGCTGGTGAACTGCTGCGGCCCCTACAGGCTATACGGGGAGCCGGTGGTGAGCGCGGCGGTGCGGTGCGGCGCGCACTACGTCGACGTCAGCGGCGAGCCCCAGGTGGGTGGTATGGAAGCCGTCGGGAAACAGCTGTGGTGGGGCCACGCGACAGTCTTCACTGTCGCGCGTATGGGCAGGTCCACGGCCACTGTTGGGAACCTGTGGTACGACCACGCAACATTGTTCACTGTTGCACGAATGGGCAGCTACGTCCGGGTAAGTACCACGACCTCACAGGAGACCGGCGTAAAGTAGAAGCGTGCACAGTTTTTCTGACACGTTTCGTCTGGTGAGTGAGGTTACCCGGGCCCACTTTATTTATAGGTGGCAACGCATTTGCAACACTACGGGTGTTGCAAATGTCCATGGGCGGTGGTTGTCACTTAACGCCAGGTGAACCGCCAGCTCGTTTGCCACTTTCTCACATTTAAAAAAAGTTTTATACTTCTGCGTTTCGTCTGGTGAGCGAGGTAAGTCATCGGGCGTTGTATATGATCATGGGCGATGGTTTTCACTTAACATTAGGTGAACCGCCAGCTCCTTTGTAACCTTCTCACAATAAAAAAATCGCGAGGAAACTCCTTGGAGCGTGGGAAAGAGTAATGAAGAAATGGTCTATTGTCTACCTATGATCCTTCCACGGGTTTCTTCTCTGAAGCTAGTGAGAACTTCATGATGGTCTTCAGAGTGTGTAAAGAGCCGGTGTAAGTCACAAGCATCTGTGTTTTTGTGTTACCACGGTTAATATATTCGGTAACGCGAGACCCAATATCTTACAGTTTGGCAACTCCCGTTCAACTCCTCTCGTGTGTTCCACCTTTCTCCACACCCTCACTCTCATCAGACTCTCTCCCTCATCTCTCGCGCAGTTCCTCGAGTCGATGCAGTTACGTTACGACAGCGCCGCCCGCGACGCTGGCGTCTTCGTCATCTGCGCCTGCGGCTTCGACAGTATCCCCAACGACATGGGGGTCGTCTTCCTCCAGCAGAACTTCGATGGTACGGAACCTATCTTCGCTCTAATAGCGTAATCCCGTGCTGTAAGGACGTTTTACAAACAGTTTCACACGGATAAACATTTCCCATTGCCCATTGGTTTTATTGCTAAGGATTGTCTTTTACTTCTTATATTATAATAGGAATAATAAACAAACAAATATAAAGTATGAGAAAGCAATCAACAATTTTATAAAATCTTCTCCCTGTTCATTATTATTTTTTAATTAACTGGAAAATGAATTGATTAAAAATACATCTTATAGTCAAATAAATTTAAAAAAGCAAATAACATAAATAATGGCAATACAACAAAACAATAATAAACGTATAGTGGTTTATTTTTAAAAAAAATGGCTCATAAAAATAAAAATACGAATATAACTTTTTTTTTATTAAGTACATATTTTTTATATATTAGGAATTTTAATTTATCCTTTAAATATTATATTACTTTCTCAACTAAAATGAAATTTAAAAATGTATCGATAAAATCCTTATTTATATCGATAAACGACAGCAATTATAACTAGAAACGAAATTTTGTCGCTTTCCACAGACCTCGCGTAGCCTATTGGTCCGAGCGTCATGTACACAACAGTAAACTATTACTCTAGTCCCAAGTTCAAACCCTTATCAAGTGGAGTTGTATTTTTTATATTATTTTCACTTTTAATTTATTACCCAACAAATTATTTTGTTTTTATTTCAATAATGGCTCAATTTGGGCAATAAATAAATTAATGAAAAAAATTATAAAACAATTTTTTTTCGTGTACATGATAAATTTTCGTTTTAGGGTGAAGAATTAAATATTTTAATAAAAAAATATATGACGTTAAAATTTAGATACTAACAGTTGGTTTATTTACTGATAGATTTTTCTCCAACTGTTTCAACTTTGAACAAATACATTAATATTTCGTTGTAATTTATGAATATAAAAAACTCAACAAAAATTAAGTAATTAAGAAATACTTCCAAATAAGGAAATCAAAAAAAAATAGGGATTTGAACCCAATCCATAAAGAATGATAGATCAGTCAATCACAAGATGAAATTACGTTTTAAATAACATAATTAACAACTGTTAATAAATAATTAAAAATACAAAATATGTGGATACATATTTTTTAGTTTCGTGTTTTCGAAAGATCTAATAAAATTATAAGTCTCAATTATAAATAAATACGGAACATATTTCGTAACGGTGAGCGGACGACGAGCGGCATCTAGCAAGGCGCCTCAGCGCTCTCTGTTCAACGTGTGGAGTAGGAAGAGAGCCGAAAAAACGCCGCGGTGGCGCGGTGTTTTGCCCATCGCGTTCGAATTCATTTTAGTGAATTAAATTAATATTTAGAAATATCTTACTTAAAAGAGCCGTGATAGCTCAGTGTCCGGGCGCTCGCCTTTAATTCAATATACCCGAGCAACCTGAGTTCGATCCCCGGTGCCGGCACCAATGAAGTTTTTAACTTTAAGTGCTGACTTATCACGTGCTCCGCGGTGAAGGAAAACATCGTGAGGAAACCTGCATATTTTCGAAATAATAGCAAAAAAATATATATTTCGAAAATATGTGAAGTCCGCCAATCCGCAGTGGGGCCGCGTGGTGGACTCCCTGATACCCTCTGTATAGAGGAGGCCTTTGCCCAGCAGTGGGACTTGTATTGGCTGTTACTTTACTTTACTTTATCTTACTTCAATCAACAAATTAAGAAAACAATCGTTGTTATTAAAATACCACACCACTGATATTAATTTCATCAAGTATTACGTTCAGCACTGATGCTGACGTAGGCATAGAGCTAGGCATAGAGCTAGAGCTGCGCACTCTTCCATCGCAGGTACCCTGAACTCTGTCGAGTCGTACCTGTCTACTGAGCTGCCGCCTCAGTATCAGGCGGCCGCCAGGCGCGGCGGAGTCATCAACTACGGCACATGGGCCTCCCTCGTCTACGGGTGAGGTTCCTCATCCATCTTCTGGAACCTTCTACGGTGGTAGGACGGCATCTACCGTGTACGAATAGGCATGCCATTTGGGGTATTGAGTCAACGTCCACTGCGTACTGCTTCTTACTGTAGGATAAGATTGTCCTGTGCTGCTCCTTTTACATACAAAAATTCCTGGACGTTTTACATACACAAATTTCACGCGGACAAACACCCAGATCCGTGGGTCGCGCAAATAGTTGTCTCGTGTGGGAGTCGAACCCACGAATCCTGGCACCGAAGTCAATACCCTGGCAGCTGAACCACGGAGTCATGATTGAGGAGCGGGGCCTCTGTTCTTAAGGTTGGTTGAAGATGAACCGCCTTCCAGTTCGCTTACCACTTTCTTTCATAGAATAAACAAACTAGGTTTTCCTACATACAGTGGGTCAAAGAATTGTGGAGAAGCTGGAGAAGAATTGTGGAGAAGCAGCTCTTACCCATCAGTGGGACATATATAGGCTGTTCTTTTACTTTTATGATTTAGACGCATTAAATTCAAGATATACATAAAAATATGTATATAAATTATTATAGCCTATGTGTTATTCTGATGTATAAGCTATGTTATTGTAAAGTTTAATTAAAATCCATTCAGCAGTATTTGCGTGAAAGAGTAACAAACATCCATTCATACATACAAACTTAAGCCTTTATAGTATTAGTAAGGATAAGTAAGGATTGACCTAGGATAAAATAATTGATTCCTAAGCTCTGTGCCCTCCAGGCTGGCGAACTACCACGAGCTTAAGACACTCCGGAAACAATTGTTCCCCGATCGCCTCCCAGCTCTGAAGCCGAAGCTCGAAAAGAAGTACGTTAAATTATCTTTTTTTAGGGTTCAAAGGTTAAATTGGGACTCTAGTAAGACTCCGCTGTCCGTCTGTCTGCCACTACGCTGCACCTGTCTCGCGAGCCGCGATTGTTAGACAGTTAAGTTTTCACAGATTGCGTTGTCTATCACGGTTCGTATACAGCCTGACAGACTGATAGATAGACAGACATAATAATAAAAATGAATATTTTTAGGACACATTTTTACACAACATTCTCTAGTCCCAAACTAAGTAAAGCTTGTACTATGGGTACCAGAAAACTGATAAACATACTTAATCATACTTTTCTTTTGTAACTAAATACATATTATACATATATTAACACCAAGACACAAGAAAAACACCATGCTCATCACAAAATATTTTTCGAGTAGTGGGGATCGAACCCACACCCTCTGGCGCAGGAGGCACAACGCCATTCGGGTCGTCGAAACAACGCGTACAACGCGAGCAAGCCGGACAGCGGAGTCTCAATAATGGGGTCCCGTCCCGCCGTCCGTGTACGGAACCCCGAGAGTGCACGTTTTTTTTTTTTTTTTTTTATGTGAAAAGTTGCCAAACGAGCAGTCGGTTCACCTGATGGTAAGTGAATACCGCCGCCCATGGACATCTGCCACACCCGAGGGTTACAGATGTGTTGACAACCTTTTGAAGATGGGGCTCCGGCTACCTCACTCACCAGACGAAACGCGAAAGTATTTGTCATACTTCCACTTTACGCCGGTGTTCTGTGAGGTCGTGGTACTCACCCGGACGGGCCTGCCCGTTCGTGCAACGGCCGAGGCTGCTGCGTGGCCCTGCCACCGTAAAATGCGGTAGAATAGGCGGTGCGTGCACTTCCGCGACGGCCGCTGGTGCGTGCCGTTCCCCGGCTCGGACGCGTCGGTGGTGTTCCGCACGCAGCGGCGCTCGCGCGCGCGGCCCGTGCAGTTCCGCGCCTACCTCCGGCTGCCGGGCGCGTGGGCGGCGCCGCTCGTTTGGTTCTGCGCGCTGGCGCTGTACCTGCTGGCGCGCTGCGGGCCGGGCCGCCGCTGGCTGCTCTCGCGGCCGCGCCTCTGCTCGCTGGGCCTCGTGGGCCGCGGCGGGCTGGAGCGGCCCGTCACCGAGAACACGCGCTTCGGCTTCGCGCTGCACGGCGCCGGCTGGCCGCAAGGCGTAGACCCCGATTCTGAGCTGCCCACCAAGACGCTCACCGCCAAGGTGAGGCCTCTCCGCTAAGGTGAACGATGTTGTTTTGTACAGCTTTCGAAGGCCTCTCCGCTAAGGTAAACAATATTGTTTTGTACAGCTTTCGAAGGCCTCACCACTAATGTAGGTGATGTTGATTTCACATTTTTGTATGGCCTCACCGCTAAGGTAAGTGATGTTGATTTTGTAAATTTACGATGGTAGGGCCATGCAACACTTGCACGAATAGGCAGGGCCCCTCCGGGTAAGTACCACGACCTCATAGAAAACCGGCAAGCAACGCATTTTCAACAGTGCGGGTGTTGCAAATTATTATTATTGTTATATATACTTTATTGAACACCAAAAAAACATAAAAGGAAATGTTACAGAACTATAAACTTAAGAGGTATAAACAATAAGGCATACTATACAATAACTTACAAAAATATATACAGGAAGAAAAAAATATAAATATACAAATGTCGTCGGTGATAATCAGTTTGAACATAGTGACAGATAATAATTTTTATCGTCAGTTTTAAACTTACGTAACGTTTTTGAGCGCTGGATTTGTGGAGGAAGCGCGTTCCATAGGCTGGCTTATGGTAATGTTCCATAGCATAAATGGCTTTGACCGTAAAAGAGTTATTAAAATAGTTGATCCGGAAAGTATGCGGGGTGATAATAAGTTCTCTGGCTGATCGCAGAACTCTTTCATGTCTGTCATGACCAAGAAATTTAAATTGCTCCTTCAAATAACTCGGAGTCATAGGATTGAACAAAACACAGTACAGAAGAGTAACAATATGCAGATTCCGGCGAAGGCGGATAGGTAACCACTTGAGCTTTGTACGATATTCGGAGACATGGTCATACTTGCGTAGACCGAAAATAAATCTGATAGCTAAGTTTTGAATTCGCTCAAGCTTGTTAAGTTTGTCCTCGGTTAAATAAAGACAGCTTGCGTCCGCATAATCGAGAATGGAAAGAAGTAAGGATTGTGCTAACGTAATCTTAGTAGGAATGAGGAGAAAAGAACGTAAGCGCCGCAGAGAATCCAAGGCTGCAAATGTTTTCCTGCTAACTTCCTTTAACTGGTGAGACCACGAGAAAGTAGAGTCGAAGCAAATGTTCATGGGCATCGGTTATCACTCAACATCAGGTGAACCGCAAGCTTATTTGCCACTCTATCACATAATTTTTTTTTTGTAAGGCCTCACCACTTAAATCGATGATGTTATTTTGTATATATTAATAAGGCCTCACCGCTAAAAGCGGTGATGTTGAGTTTTATAACGTCTCACTATTAAGGTAGGTAATATTGTTTTATACAGTTTTGTAAAGCGCCTCTTAAAGATCGATCTCAATATTCTATCTACAGATAGATTCGTTTACTGGAAATAGAATTTTGACTTAAGTAAGTAAGTAAGAAGTACATCAAAAATAAATACGAGTTAAATTGTAATTAAACAGTTTATTTTTAACTTCCACAACGACGGAACATTGTTACATCTTCCCACCGGGTCACGGCCAAGTTGCAGGCCTAGAGTCGCCGACTTTGGTTTAAGATGTCCTGGCCCTCAAACGCCCTACACGAGCTCCGCGGTGCTCCTACCACCAGTACACCTGCTGCTTAGGAGGTAGGAAGAGGTCCAGGAAGACGTGGACACACCTCGTCATGCGTCTCAAAACCTCTCCGCGTCCCCCCGACGACAGGATGCCAAGGCACAATCACAGGCTGGACGATTATCGTATTCTTCGAAATTTCACTCTTGTGGAGGCTTGGTTACAGATTTGTGACTTCCCCTTTGGCCAATCTTGACCGGTAATTAGAGATCACTCGCTAGTGAATTTTTCGTCTCTTCAGAAATTTAAATTTTTATAGTGCTAATCTCTGCCCTTAAGATTAAACATTAAAATTTATAGAAAAAGCACGAAAAGTTTGTCGCCGCTGTGGGAATCGAACCCACGTCTTAGACATTTGCGGCCTGACGCTTTAGCCACTAAACTTGGAGAGATTAGCACTATAAAAATTTTAATTTCTAAAAAGCAATGGCGACATCTCCACTTCGAATTATCGTTGTAAAACGATATTCGAAATTGTTTGTATGCTGGAAAGAATCACTAATCTGAACACCCATCCTAGCTGTAATGGTAGGTTTTTAATTTAGAAAAACAATTAAATATTTAATTTCCTGTGCAACATTTAATAAGTTTTAATCAAAGAAGTCTCGCTCGAATTTCCATTGAACTCTCACGGTGGGCGTTCCTCAAGGGTCCTGCTTTTCTCCCTTGGTATTTTGAATCGGGGACGGACACCTGCAATTAAGGCTATCGAGCAATTTTCTTAAAGCCAACTTTTTGGACAAACATCTTGATTGGATTAACAAATAAAGAATCCACTAACCCGTTTAAAGCCCCAGTAGGGAGTTGTCCTATGATCCTAGGAAGCAAATAATTTAATACGATCATTTGTTTTTTTTTTAATACTTATCCTAAATTCTACTAATGTAACAGATATATGCACGTGCATGTAAAAACAAGTAGAATGTAATTTAAAAAACTAAAAAACCCGACTGCGTTTCTGTGTATTTTTTATTTTGACATACCCAGTCTCACTTCACAGTAAATACGAATCTAACGACACCTCTCAACTGAAATCCACCAAGCCGTTCAGGCTGCAGAGCGTGCCAAACTATTATACATACATACATTCTGTCGAAAAACATAACCCTCCTTCTGGCGCAGTCGGGTAAAAAGAAGTATTTGATGATGCGTTCCACTCTCGCAGGTGTCGGGATCGAACCCGGGCTACGGCGCGACGGTGGTGGCCTTGCTGCACTCCGCACTCACCATCCTCGACGAGAGGGACAAGATGCCCGAGAGGTAACGCTACAACCGCATCGCCTTCTTATGTTCGGTGCAATGACGACGGCCCCCTCCCCCCCACCACTAATCGAAATAAATCGAATTAATAAAGGCAAAAACTGTAATGTTATAACGAATGGGCAGGCCCGTCCGGGTGAGTACCGCGTACTCACAGAAGACACAAGGAAGTATGAAAAATACTTTCGAGTTTCGTCTGGTGAGAGAGGTAGTAGTGGTTAAATGATACATTTCTTTTTGCCTCAACATTGCCCTCACTTTAGGATAATATTATTCTGTGTTGTAAGGACGTTTTTACAAACATAAATTGCACGACGATAAACACCCAGATGCGAAACAACTATCTGTGGGTCACACAAATAGCTGTCCCGTGTGGGAATCGAACCCACTACCCCCGACGCCGAAGCCGATACCTTGACGATTGCGTCACTGTGTTACTTTTTGTGTTTGTTGTTTTCATTTCACATTTAAATGACCTGTTATGATCAATTGAGGAAATTGGTAAGTATTCAGGGCTCCGTACGCAAAAAGTAAAACGGTAAAACCTATTATTAAGACTCCGCTGTCTATCTGTTCCTCTGTCCGTGTGTCACCAGGTTGTATCTCAAGAACCGTGATAGTTAGACATGTTAGAAAATGTGTTTCCGTGGATCAAAATAAATATGCAGCTCTGCTTTCATGATTGGTTTATTCTGTTTAACTTACATCATTTAACACTTTATACTGGGTTTCACATGATACTACTTAATTACAATAATCAACTTAATCATCTTCAAATCACAACTACACCATCTTGACCAATTACACAGAGTAGAGAGTTTTGTCTATGCAGTCACAGAGCAACTATAACAATAGCAATGTTACAAGGTACAAAATCATATTCTCAACAAGACAGTTGAAATTTACACAGATGATGTATTTCTGTTGACGCTATAAAAACTGTGGGTGGACCAGGCAAAATTTTTGTACGACTAGGCAGGTCCGTCCATATAAGTACCACGGCCCCATAGAAGACCGGCATTAAGTGAAAATGTTACACTACTGCGTTTTGTCTGATGAGTGAGGTAACCAAGGCCCACTTTATTTAAAGTTGGCAACGCGTTTGCAACCCTACGGGTGTTATAAAGTCCACGGGCGGCGGTTATCACTTAATATCAGGTGAACCGCCAGCTCGTTTGCCACTTTCTCACATAAAAAAATCCTAAAAAATATTAAAGTGGGTCCTCTCGATACAACAGACATATTTTTTGCCGTTTTTATAGATATAGGTACGGAACCCTTAGTGCGCGAGTCCCACTCGCACTTGGCCAGTTTTTACAATATTAGTGAAAACTTTAAGTACCTATCTGTGTTGACCAGGGTTATATAATAAACAATTACATTAATAATAAACTTAAAATAAGTTAGGAAGCCCGCGGTCGCATATGGAAAGGGTAATGCTTGGGGTTTCTATACGAGATGGAATCAGAAACGAGGAGATCCGTAGAAGAACTAGAGTTACCGACATAGCAGAGCGAGTCAGCAGGCTGAAGTGGCAGTGGGCAGGGCACATAGCTCGAAGAACCGATGGCCGTTGGGGCAAAAAGGTTCTCGAGTGAGACCACGTGAGGGCAAGCGCAGCGTAGGAAGGCCCCCCACAAGGTGGACGGACCACCTGGCCAAGATCGCAGGGACACGTTAGATGCAGGCCGCTAGCGACCGGTCGAAGTGGAACTCAATGGGGGGGGGGGGGGGGGGGGGGGTCTATGTTCAGCAGTGGACGTCCTACGGCTGATATGATGATGATGATGAAACTTAAAATAACACAATGACGACAATAGAGTGGATCCCCAGGGGCGGGGTGGTGACCACCGGCTTCGCCTTCGGAAACACGGGCCTGGTGCGGCGGCTGAACGAGAACGGCCTGCGCTTCGAGATAGTCGAGGAGTGAACCCGTGGTGGTTTCAATATTCTGTCTATCTGTGGATCCACGATCACATCTCTGGCGATTTTTAATTTAAGCATCTAACTGCGGTAGGGCCTCGGCTGTTGCGCGAACGGGCAGGCCCCTCCGGGCGAGTACCTCCTCCTCACCTCACAGAACCACGACCTCACAGAAGACCGGCGTAAAGTGGAAGTATGGTCAAATACTTTCGCGTTTCGTCTGGTGAGGTAGCCGGAGCCCAATTTTCAAAGAGGTTGTCCAACGCATCTGCAAACCCTCGGGTGTGGCAGATGTCCATGGGCGGCGGAATTCACTTAACATCAGGTGAACTGCCTGTTCGCTTGGCAACTTTTCACATAAAAATAACGATTTCTGTTTTTAGTTTACATATATATCAAATATTCTTAACTTACACCCAAGAAAGGATTTACATTTTATAGTTAGGAGATATAAAATAATTGAGCAGTTTAGGGGCAAACAATGTATTCTATCTATCTATTATATCGTGGGCGTAGAAGGAAAACCCGCTAAGTCCATTTTTGGCTAAAAATGCGTTCTTTGCGTCCACATAATGTTTGGGGGGTTCTGCAGTAGAGTACCGGGTCTCCATTAAAAAAAATCGTTGTCCATATTTCAGGCTAAGCCATTCAGCTAAGTCCTGAAGGAATAATGCGATTTTTCACGACTTATTGAATTTTCAAACCCATTTATCTCCAAATGACGAATTTTGGACTTAGCGGGTTTTCCTTCTACGCCCACGATATATTTTATCTATTTGTAGATTTGCTCACTAGTAATGGGTATTTGACATTAGCGCCATACAAATTATCTATATAAATAAAAATGAATCGCCGAATGTGTTGCCAAGCGCAAATCTCGAGAACAGCTGAAATGATTTCGCAAATTTTTTTTTTCTATAATATTCCTTGAAATACGAAGATGGTTGTCAACGACGGTTGTCACAAAATGTCGATGTTTAAAATTTTCGAATTTTATAAACTGTTGTTATGTAAATTCGATGGTATTATATTAACCATAATAACTTTGGTGATAATAAGCGAAGAAAAATTAATAATAATCGCGCGGAAGCGTTATTACCGTGTAAAAACGCTGTTTTTTTTGTTATTTTCTTTTTTGTAACGTTATTCTGGCCAGTGACCGTGAAACCAAATAATTACGTACATTCAATGATTAATTTTAATAGTTAATTATGTTTTCGTAGTTTTAATTTTTTTGGTGCGAAATATGTACATTTGTATTTACTTATTTTTGTACGCTAACTTTGTTTGTATTACCGTCGTAAATTAAAAATTTGACGCAAACAAAGCCAATAAGCAAGCAGCCAAAGATATTTTTTATATCTTCTAGATATAACAATTCTTTTTAAGCTATTGCATACATTACATATAGCTTTTATCGCGGGCTTTGAACGCGACGACCGTATCAAGAAATTCCGTAACGAAAATAAAACCTAACACCCTCCACTCCGCCTACCATGTAGCTCGGCCGAGCGTTCGCTTAACGTATGTATATGGTACGACGGTACGAAGCTCGCACGATGGATATTAATATGATATTATAATATTATATTATCATATGATGATATGATATTTAGCGGATATCACATCTCAAACTTATGTTTCTTATTTCAGTTACCATAAACCATATTTCAGTGATAAAAATTCCTGAATAAACCTACATGTATTGTAAAATAATAAAAATATTTAACCAAAAATATTTTACCTTTCATTTATTCAATAAAAGAAAAAAATGTTTTCTTATCGGTCACCACGCTCAAAAAGTGTAACGTGAATTAATATCAAAGAAAAAAAAATACTGCATAAATAAAAAATAAATAAATAATTATAATTCCATAAGTTGATAAAACATGCTATGCAATAGCTTTACCGCGGTTTTTATTATATTTACTAAATACTTTATAATTATTTAGGAAAAATATTATAAGTTTCAAACGAAGTCTGTTATTTTCTTGTTTACCCCACAGTAAATATAAAAATATCTTGTGTTTGATGTTATTTTTGAGGAGTAGAGTAAAGTTTCACGCCCCAAAAAATGATATTTTGTTTTTTTACTATGATATTATTTACTTACTATTATTTTATACTATGGTTTTGTGGTTACGATTGTTTTTTTAATATTAAGATCAGGGCCGGATTTAGAGGTCTGTAGGCCTCGGGCAACAAAGGAGTGGAGGCTTCTTGGCCCCCAATTATTTTCCAAATAAAATAAACAATTTTTTTCAGTCGCGTTTTCAAATAAATTATTTATTGTGAAACCAAGTGGGTAAAACGCGAAAAAAATACGAAAGTAAAAGTTGTTTACTAATCTTTACTAGTCTAAATTTGAATATTTTTTCCGAAGTCTCCATTGTGGAAGCCCCGGAGCTGCAGCCCCGGTTGCCCTCCCCTAAATCCGGCCCTGATTAAGATTATCTTATTATAAGAGATAAGGTAATGGTCTGTTGGAATAAATTTCTAAGCTTTGTTAAAGTTAAAGCGATTAAATTCTATTTTCTTCCAAAATGTGTAATATCTCATTACATTGCCCCACATTTTATTTTCCGATATATAAAATTAAGAAAATTTATTGTTCGTTTTTTACCATTTGAACTCATCACAACGTCACTTACGTTATCTACAATGGGATGAACCAAATGTATTTGTTTACATTTATTGGTACAAATCTTCATTATTATCGTCATTCATATGTTGTAAGCGGCTTGGGCTATTTTTTTACGACTCGCCGCTTGCCTGATGTCAATCTTACTTGGGAAACTAATCAATTAGACAATTATACAATATTATTGTCAATATTATTATCAATATCAATTAGACAATTATATAATATTAAATATACTTATTATTGCCATGTCTATAAATTCGCACAAACTGTTGTTGTTCTCGATGGGATGAAATCTAGGACTTGTGATACTGTATAAATTCAAATTACGCAAATGCCTCATCATTAAAACCACCATCATTGGGAACAAAAATAAATGACATAGGTACTGGTTAGCGCAACTTAGTGATATAAAGTAAAAGTGGCGACATCTATTGAAAAACTAAATTTGTACTATTGTAGTTACTATTAACGGTCGACATCGCTAAAGCTGAATGTTTCCACAATACCGACAAGCCGCAGCCGACCGGGAGAAGGACGTTGGCTGATGAGAAAACAAGTGGGAAGGCTTGCAGCTAGCAGATGCCGACATCTGGGTGGAGTTGAGTGGAGATAGACACATCTGTTTGCCTCCAAACCCTTCTTTAAAACCCACTGCAGGCTGGGACAGGCTTGGGAATCTAAGGTGGGAATCTATGGGGGCACTTCTGCACTGAGCTGAAGCACAGCTTCTCACAGCTTCAGCTGTGAAGATACAGCGGTGCTATCGCCCCCGAGTTCCTTCAGTGGCCTCCACCGAGATTCTTTTGTTATGTGACATATTGCAATTTGCAAACGAACCGGCGGTTAATCTGATGTTAAGTGATAACCTTGGACTTTTGCAACACCCCTAGGGTTGCAGTGGCTTGCCACCTTTTAATAAAGTGGGCCCCGGCTACCTCACTCACCAGACGAAACGCAAAAGTATGTCATACTTCCACTGCACGGAATCACTTAGAGGAAACCGTGCCCGTTCTTTAAAACCATATTTGTAAGATTATAAGTAACAAAAACCCGAATTGTGTCCAATTCCTCTTATTATTGTGCTCTTGGAGCTTATTCCAGATTTACAAGTGTACAATTGGTTGTGATTATCTCAAAAGTAATATTAAAACCTCGGTTTAGTCGGCAACACATCGCCATCTCTTTGTACACAGCAAACTTACAATTAGAACTCACTACTAACTTTATATCCTTAGTTTTATTTTCCATTATGAAATATTCTAAACTGATCGTCAACGCTTCCCTGTGGTAGGGGCACGAAACATCGTAAAAGTACCACGACCTCATAGAAGACCGGCGTGATGTGATACTGTTATACTTTCGTGTTTCGTCTGGTGAGTGATAACTAACCCACAAAGCTTGTCAAAAAATCTGTAAGCATAAGTGTGGATATTCGTGATCTTGATTAGAGATACTGCCGATTAATTTACTACGTAATAGGTAGTTGAAAATTTGAATAAAGTAATTTTATGATCCGGTAACGATAACTATATTTACCCTCACTAATGAAGAATATATGTCTTCAATAAACAAATATTTTCAGGACACATTTTTACAAAAGTTCGCTAATCCCAAACTAAGCTTTTACTCCTGGTACTAGATAACTGATAAAGTTACGTTATAATAGATAGTATAGTTGAAAAGTTATAATATTTGGTTCATATATCGCTCCCCTCACCGAATAATATCGTTATCGATAAATTAAAATTTAACAGGAAAAATAAAAGAGTGTTTTTTGACGATTATTTTAAAGATTGTCAAACTTATGAGGATGATTTATATATCAAATGAAAGGTAATTTTTTTATTAAATCATTTTAAACAAAGTTATTCATTTTGTACTTTCTTAAAATAAAGTTATTATAGAAAACATTTTTTACTATAAATGCTAGACAAAACATTTATTTGCAAAATAATATTACGATATTATTCGTGTAAAAAAAAAAATAGATGCCATGAACAATAATGGCATACCACAATTTTATTCGTTCATGAAAGGTAACCAAATATAAACATAAGCGGTAATAATTTAAAAGGGGGTTTTTCGCGGATGTAATGTATGTTACATATTAAAGTTTTGTTTGAATACCATTCTCTTATCGTATTATCTACAAAGTAATTTCAGTTACTTGAAATATGATTCTCAATAAAACGTTGGTTTTTTCATGAAAGAAAACCGTTTATTAAGGGAAAGACAGGAAATGGTTGAATCATAATCATCATTGCAGCCTGTTTTAGTCCACATTTTTTTGACGGACATCCTATGAGGTCTTTTGTAATGAGTTCCTCTGTTGTCTATTAGGCTCTCGTACTGCGCTATTT